TGGCCAAGGAAATCCTTGAAGAAACAAGCGAATTAGTCGAGATATTCTCGAAATTCCTGCGCGCGGGACGCGGCACACGCGAAACAACCTCGGAATTCCTGCGCGCGGGACGCTTTTCCGCGTCGCGGTCGGGGCTCCAGACATTGTTTTTGTTTAAGGATTCTGCTGAAAATGCCCCGCACCCTTTTTTTACGAAAGAAAACGGTGGTCTGTGGACCCATTGTTTATCGAGGATCCGAGATGGGGGGCGAACTTTCCTCCAGCGGGCCCGCGAAAACTCACTTGTTCAACTGAAACGTCACACTTCACCTCGTTATTTACCGGCCCTAGAGCCGTCGGGGCCAGTGGGTTAACCTACTAGAAGAGAGCCCTGGGCCTATGCCCTTTCCGGGAAAAAAAACCCTGGGCCCGCGCCCTTTCCGGGACATGATCGACCCACGAACCCGGAAAATAATATAGGAATGTAAAGCATGGCAGCGTTTCAAAGACACCAGAGTGGGCGACGGGCAAACGCAATGATGAATGCATCGATCTTGATGTTCCGTGCCGAAGGCTGTGATGTGCAGCGCCGCGCTGAACTGCGATGTGCCATGCCGCGATTGTGCTCTGCAGTGTTGCGGATCGGGTCCTCCTTTGCATCCGAGTCCTGACCGAACTGATCTGGATCTTAAGCTCGAGCTGCCTCAGCACATCGTAGCTTCCCCAGAGCTCATTGACAGGAAAACGTGCCAGGAGGACGCGCCGCGGAACGTCCCGAGGGACGCGCCAAGCGACGTGCCAGGGGACGTGCCACGGGGACGCACCGCGGGACGTGCCGAGGGGACGCGCTACGGAACATGCCAATGGACGTGCCACGGGACGTGCCAGGGGACGCGCCGCGCGACGTGCCAGGGGGACTCGCCACGGGACGCGCCACGGAACGTGCCAAAGAACGCGCCAAGTTGCAATGCGGAATATATCGATATTGAAGTACAGTGCCGAAGGCTGTGCTGTGCTGCGCCGTGCTGAATTGCGATGCGCCATGCCGCGATTGTGCTTTATAGCGTTGTGGATCGAGTCCTCCTTTGCATCCGAATCCTGACCGAACTGATATGGATCTTAAGCTCGAGCTGCCTCAGCACATCGTAGCTTCCCCAGAGCTCATTGACAGGGGAACATGCCAGGACGACGCGCCGCGGAATGTGCCAAGGGACGCGCCACGCGACGTGCCAGGGGGCGTGCCACGGGGACGCACCGCGGGACGTGCCGAGGGGACGCGCTACAGAACGTGCCAGTGGACGCGCCACGGGACGTGCCAAGGGACGCGCCGCGCGACGTGCCAGGGGGACTCGCCACGGGACGCGCCACGGAACGAACCAAAGAACGTGCCAAAATGAAATGGTGAATGTACCGATCTTGATGTACCGTGCATATTGCTGTGCTGTGCTGCGTCGTGCTGAACTGCGATGTGCCATGCCGCGATTGTGCTTTATAGCGTTGTGCATCGACTCCTCCTTTGCATCCGAATCCTGACCGGACTTATATGGATCTTAAGCTCGAGCTGCCTCAGCACATCGTAGCTTCCCCAGAGCTCATTGACAGGGGAACATGCCAGGAGGACGCGCCGTGGAACGTCTCGAGGGACGCGCCAAGCGACGTGCCAGGGGACGTGCCACGGGGACGCACCGCGGGACGTTCCGAGGGGACGCCCTACGGAACGTTAAAATACGTGGCCCTTGCTCGGGACAACCATGTCAGATACCCCCGTGGATGGCCAAGACACCTAACATGATCGACCCACGAACCCGGGAAGGAATCTAGCAATCTCAGGCATGGTAACGCTTCAAAGAAACCTGGTTCGACGACGGGTAACTGCAATGATGAATGTATCGATATTGTGTGCCGTGCCGATGGCTGCGCTGCGCTGCGCCGTGCTGGCTTGCGAGATGTGCCATGCCGCGATTGTGCTCTGCAGTGTTGTGGATCGGGTCCTCCTTTGTATCCGAGTCCTGACCGAACTGATCTGAATCAGTCTTTTGCCTGAATATTCATAATCCTTGCAAGGTGTTCCGATGATATATCATGTTCAGTGGGCTTCGCGGATGGCATGGGAAGAAAAGATAATGCCGTTAAGCTAGCAATCGGGTAACCCTGAAGGGAGGAGGCCGGCCCGCCGGCCGACGCACGCGCGCGCGCCGCAGGCACGCTCCTTCTCTGTTTCCCTGAAGCCAAACAGCTGCAGTCGGATATAGTTCATGGCAGTGCAAAAGAGTGAAGGCAACGGCCAGCAGAATGGTGGTGCGGAAGGAGTGCATTGACTCCCCCCGCGGCGGGATGCGTAGAGTCGCCCCGACCCCCAACCCACCTGGCCTGTACATATGTACAGGCACAGGAACGACCCAAAAAACACTTTTACCGCTCGACTGTGGTTGCCAGGGGGCGGAAGACCGAAACAACCCGACGAACCCCGCCAGTTAACATGTTCCATGGGGCTGCTTCTAAAGGGCCTCCAGAAACGGCGTGTTCAGGGCAGGCCACGAGCAACTACGCTGAATCTGCCCGACGATGTCCTCCTCCTCCTTTTACTTCTCCTCCTCCTCCTCCTCCTGCTCCTCATCCTCCTTCCTTCTCTCCTCGGATCCGTCAGCGTTCTCGCAATGTCCTGTGGCCTTCCGAGACACTCGCAGGGGGAGGAAGGGGAGGAGCGGGGAGGGGGGAAGGGGAACAGGGAGCAGGAATGGGGAGGGGATGAGGGGGAAGGTGAAGGAGGGGATGATGGTGAGGAGGAGCAGGGGAGGGGGAGGAGGGGGGAGGGGGTGAAAGAGGAGGAAGGATGGAGAGGAAGGAAAGAAGGCGAGGACTGGGAGAGGAGGGGCGGGGAGGAGGGAGTGGGAAGAAGGGGGTAGGAGGGAGTGGGATAATGGAGGACGTATAAACGAGGAGGGACGGCGGAAGAGGCAGCAGGAGCCGAATGAGTGACCAGGACAGACGGACGTGGGAGGACGGGGGAAGAGGACGTAAGGGAAGCAACGTAGTTGACAGGACGTGTTCTATTTTCTCTGAGCCTCGTGGGAGGGCAAGCGCTGCATGCAATGTTCCAAATTCGCGTCTCCGCAATGGCTACCCGCAGCCAAGCACGAGGGGCACTGGACCTAGTGCGTCGTGCTGCCAGCTTTGTCGAACGGTGTCCTTTCATCGTGGTTCAGCTGTCCTAACAGTTCTTCTTAGCAAGTACCAGTACGTCGTCGACGTCGCCGTCGCCGTCGCCGTCGCCGTCGCCGCCGCCGTCGTCGTCGTCGTCGGGGGTCACCGTCGTCGTCGGGGGTCACCGTCGTCGTCGTCGTCGTCGTCGTCGTCGTCGTCGTCGACGTCGTCGTCCGTCGTGACCGTCGTGACCGTCGTCGGCGTCGTCGTATTCGTCGTCGCGACGACGACGACGACGACGACGACGACGACGACAACGACGACGACGAAGCGCCCCGCTGCGAGGGGGATGGAGATTATGGGAGAGAGGAATGGGAAAGGGAGGAGAGGAACGGAGGGGGGAGGAGGATGAGAAGGGGGACGAAGAGGACGACGACGATTGAAGCAGCCAAGTGCCATGTGCAACGCATCGCACTCGTTAACCAATTGCTCAGGAAACGATGTTAACTAAACGCCCGGGTTGCACATCGCACATGGTTAAGTTAGAAGCCTGCCCAGCTGCACGTAGTTTCAACTAGAATCGAAAGTGCTACAAGCCCGTTCAAAAAAGCCAGCAGACAGGGAGAACACGCCAGGCAGGCGCGCGCGATGGAAGCCGTCCTTTAGGCGGCCTTCTTGCCACCCTTGGGAGCAGCACTCTGCTTCGCCATAGTGCGTGTCACGATGACCTTGGTCTTGCCCAAAGCCTCCTTGAGACCAGCAGGGACTAGCTTGGCCTTCAGCTCCAAGAACTCTTCGATATCCTCAAGCTGCGCCTGCCCTGCAGTACCAAAAATGGTTGCAACGCCTGCGAGGACAGCACTGCCCTTCTTGGCCAACTCCCACGTGTTCATGATGCCGCTCAGGTCGTCCTCGAACTCGGGGTCCTTGTCTGGGTTCGAGATGCCGTGGCCAGTGGCGAAACTCGTGAACCCGACGATGCTCTTGAACAGGTTCGCCCCCTCGTCCTTTAGCTCCTCGCTGGTCGGATGCTTGAAGAGGCTCTTCTTCACAAGGGCCGACGCGAAGCTCTTTTCGTTGATGATGCGGTCGTACTGGGGCACGAGCTTGCGGACGCTTTCGCTACCAGCCGCTAGCTTGGAAACCAGCTGCTTCATACAATTCCGAACCAGCCTGGCGTGCGCGATCTCGGCGGACACAACCCACTTCATGATCGTACTCCCCTTTGTACGCCAAGTGGTGCCCTTCGCCTCCAGGTCGGACATGTCCTTGATCTTGGGGATCGTTGTCTTCAGAGTGTTGAACGCCCTCGTCACATCAAGGCGGAGGCGCATGGAAATGTCGACCATGCTATTGCCAGGATTCAAGAAGCCATGCAGGTACTTGAGCGCAGTCACGGCGTGGGTGACCTCTGACACCGCGCTCATGCATTCCAAGACTGATGCCGTTGACCAGGTCTGTGCAAACTCATCTGTCTCTTCAAAGAGCTTGCAGTTGCATAGTGTAACGTCGGCATCGCCCTCTGTCAAGGACTTGAAAGCGTCGATCTTCACTGCCACTGGGAGCTTAACGTCGACGCCATCCTGGAAGCACTCCGTCTCGGCCTCTGTGAGCGGAACGCTGACGTCGACGATGGCCGCGACAGCTTCGGCGACATCCGTCGGGATGGGGGTGTCGTCGACGATCTCCTTGAGCCGCTCAGCGCGGGACACCTCAATGATCTCGTCCACTGCCCGCATGGTGGCTCCGCTGAGGTACGTGTTAGCATAAACCACAGGCTCGCTTGCACGGAGATTGGAAAGCACATCGTGGATAGCAACGATGGGGGCGCTATTAGCAAGCCGTGGTCGAAGACTCCAGTGCGTCGCAATCGTCACGTGGGTGCATGAGAAGCGCCTTGCAGCCGATCATGTCTTTATCTCCACCTCTCGTCACAACGGCCATGATGTCCAAGCCGTCGGGTGCAGCGCTGGCGCAGTCGAGTAGTGCCCTCGCCAATTCTGCCGAAGGCTTCTTGCCCTTCTCAGTCGCGCTGCTGTCCAAGGAGTCGTCGAGCGAAGACGCGTCCGCGGCTGAGCTGGACCCAGCGCCAGACTGCGGCGATCGCGATGACTTCAGCCGCGCGAACCCACTGCCAGGAACACCACCATAACGCACCATCGCGTCGATGAGATTGCAATAGAGCTTGATCTTGTCGCCGTGGTCTGTGACAATGGTAAGAATATCCATCAGCCCCTTCACCTGCGGAGAGTCAAGGCCGCTAGACGAAATCGTATCGCGAATGTACTGGATAGACCACTTGACCTTGCCAACCAACTCGACGAGGTCGTTGATCGTGAGCGCTGCGTCGTAGTCTTCTGGCTTCGAGTCGAGGCTGCCTTGATCTTCTCTGCGGGCCGGAGAATTCCCACCAGTGGAGCCGAAAGCCTGGGCGCTCGAGTTCAGCAGATCGCCCGTGCGCTTGGCGATGTGGTAGGTGTAGTAGCACAAGACGATGTCAGCACTTGCTACCTTTGTGGTAGCGGTTTGGACCCACTCGTAGATCAGGCTGAGCCGCTCCGACTTGCGAATAGCAGACCACGTGCTCAAAGCCTCCTGGACAGCGAAAGCAGCCTCCTCGACCGCGTTGAAGATCTTAAACTCCGTAACAACGCGGACGTTGTTGATAACAAGGTGGGCCGACACTTGCCCCTCGGTGGGCCCCCCAGTGAAGACGTCCAAGCACAGGCTGACGCCGTCAGTCAAGCAGTGGATTGCGTAAGCCACCCTCTCGTCGCCAGCGTCATCAGCAGCATTTCTCTGCAAGGCGAGCTGCGCTGATGATTGCAACTCCATCCAGGTCGGCTTCCCCCCGTAATGCTCCAGGATGGGCTTCATGCGGGGCGCGCCGAGCACGTGGATGGCATCGTTCACATCTGAAGCCTGAGTGCCGAGAGCACCACCGATGATGCCCCTCAGGGCCTTGACCTCTGCTGAGGAGTCCTTCAGGTCCTCAATATGCTGAGCAACTTGCGCTATCTCCTCCATGCACGTGGTAAGCTCATTGATGAATCGAGTGCGCTGGTTGTCGATCTCGCTGAGCTTGGTCTCGCAAATGCGCGCCAGCGCAGTGCCCAGAAAGAACCCCCTGAACCACGCGTCGGGGCTTGAAGCGATAATGCCACGGTATCGAGCCTTCGAGTCTTGAATCATCTCCTCGAGCAGACCTGCGAGACCATTGCTGACCATGGCTTTGGTAGCAGCGTCCAAGCCCATTGACATCACACAACCAGAATTGACAAACTCGCCCTTGAGGCACGTCAGATGGTAGCTATAGTGGGCAGTGATGCGCGCCGTGCGCGACAAGAACGAGCCGAAGGCGGTGAGCTGGGTGCAGAAAGGGTGCAGAAAGACTTCAGCTTATCGTTGCTGTACTTCGCCTTCGGAGGGGCACTGCCAAAACTCACCCCCCCGCCTTGGACGGGGGAGGGAGGGGAGGGGGGGGTAGCCGAGATAAGACGTGGAGGGAGGAGGGGCAAGGAGGATGACGAGGGGCGACGAGGAGGGAGGATGAAGGTGGAACTGGGTAAGGAGGATGGAGGGTAAAGGATGGTGGGGAGGAGATGGAGGAGGATGAGCGGAGGGAGTTGCAAGATAATGGTAACTGGGGTTGAGTAAAACACATGAGAGGGGATGAGGATGGGGAGGAGTAGGAGAGGAGGAGGGGAGGAGGAGATGGTGGATGAGGAGGAGGAGGAGGACGTCGACGGCAGACGGAGGAACTGGAGGATACGGATTATGTGGATGATGATGAGGCTGAGGGGGCAGAGGAGGATGTACGAGGAGGAAATGAGGAGGAAGATGAGGGTTCGGATTCGGATTTGGAACGGTTGCGAAACACTAACCGTCTGACCTGCCTTGCGGGTCGATCTGGCATTCGACTTTCATGGTTTCGAGGCTTTGGCCGCGACCGCCAGGCCCCCTCCTCCTCCTCCTCCTCTCCCCCTCTTCCTCCTCCCCCCCCTCCTCCTCCCTCCTCCTCCTCCTCCGCCTCCTCATCCCTCATCTTCGTCCCTCGTCGTCCGCAGGTTTGTTCTGCCCCCCCCCCACCCCAGCGAACCTTGACGTACTCCCTGCAGCACTTCATGGCGTGCTTGCCCATGGAAAGGCCCTCGGCCCACAGGATCGCCAGCTCCACGATCGACTCCGCGCCAGTGGCCTGCGCCTCGCCCTGCACGCCCCCGACTTCTGTGATGTGAGTTGTGAACGAGGACTCCTTCACATTATTCCAATCGGCCGTCGCGAAGTGGGTGAGGAGCTCCTTGGCGCCGTCCGTGATCACATCGAACTTCACCTCCAGTGGCGTCTTGATCTTCGGGGGCTGCGGGTTGTACGGTTGGATGGCCGTGCAGCTCGCTCCATCTGGCTCGTCGGCACCTCCTCAAAGTAATTTCAGGTCGTTGCTCGAAGTCGTGGGAACAAAGCGTCGAAGCGGTAAGCGAAACTGCGACTGGTCGATCGGGATCTCAACAGACTGCTGGAGCTGCTCGTGCGTCAAGGTCTGGTGGAGCGGCATCAATGCCCCAAGCTGCACGCCTGAGCTTGTGGCAACGCAACGCAACGTTTTCATGCCGTCGTCTGTCAGCATACTTGGACGATCGGACAGCAGCGCGACGACGAACGGGCCAGTGGGGATACCAATGTTCTCGAGCAGCCACTTCAAACTGTCCTTGCGGAGCTTGAACACAACGTCGTCGATCCTGTCCTTGCCCTCCTTCTTCAGCTGGATCCACACCATGAGGTCGAACTCCCAGTCGAGCGTTACCTCGATCTTTGAAAGCTTGCCCTGCCACGTGGTCAAGCTGCCCTCTTCCTTCCTCGTGAGCCTGAAGAGGCCCATGCAGTCCTTGCACCATAAACCTCGACCGTCTGGCAAGCCCCACTCCACAAAGGCTGGTTGAAAGAATGACATCAACACTCCGTACACCCGCCCGCACCCAGGGCAGCCGTTGCGCTCCTTCTTGGCAGGCTCAGGCTCGACGGCGGCGGCGACCGCGAGTTGGCTCCCCTGGGCGGCGGAGTCTGCGGCCCGATCATCTCCAGCATCAGGTTGCGAGAGCTCCGTTCTAAGCTTCCTTCTCTTTGCCAGCCGTGATTCTAGACGGTCGAGACCCAACGACTCAGCAGTCTTCTTCAAGCTTGGGGAGCCTTCGATCCCCTCTTGTTCGAGCATCGCAAGCATCCTGACGAGTAGCGTGAGGTCCGATAGACGAACGCTGGAATAGATTTCAGCGGTCTGAGTTCAGAGCAGGACAGTGTGTCACCTGATATCGGCTAAGCCAAAAAAGGGTACGGAGGAGGGGGAGGTAGGAAGTTGTATGGGCGGGGGGCGTAGGATTCAACCAAGAACGCCACGCACAACGATAGGAGCTCGGGGTCGCGCATAGAAATCAGCACCCAGACGTCAGAAAGACGTGAACGCCCAGGGCCATGACCCTCGAAAATCGACACCCCCCAAGGACTCGGGACTCCAGGATCGTGAACCATTGGCCCATAGCTGCTCTGTCGCCCTTTCAATTCGTTCCCCCTCCTAAGGCACTAGGATTGTGAAGCTGGGGGTCGCTAGACCAGATGGAAGTAGCTGGAGGCCCCGCTGCGTTTACGGTGCTTGAGTAGGTAGTGGGAGGAGGGGGGCCACTAAGCATACCAAGCTGGAGCTGCCAGTGGGGCCTGAGGTGGGCCAGTCAGGTCTGGAGGCGTACACTTAGTCAGATCTGAGGTGCCCTCCCGATGCCTCCCCAGAGGCCCCCCCAGGAGGGGCTTCCAAAACCGCCCGCTCCGTAGAATGGGCACCCCCTCTCAGGCGAAAACGCTAATTCTACACAGTGGCCCCTCTGGGGGGGGCACTGTGTAGAATGTGCCCCCCCTCTCGAGCGAAAACGCCATCAGGAAACACTGATGGCGTTTTCGCTCGAGATGGGGGGCACATTCTACACAGTGGCCCTCCCAGGGAGCCCTGGGTGGCACTGTGTAGAATGTGCCCCCCCTCTCAGGCGAAAACGATGTTTTTTTTTGTTTGAGGGCGTTTTCGCTTGAGAGGGGGGGCACATTCTACACTGTGGCGCCCCCCAAGGCCCTGGGGTGGGCACTGTGTAGAATGTGGCCCCCCTCTCAGGCGAAAACGCCATTATTTTTTTTGAAGGCGTTTTCGCTCGAGAGGGGGGGGGCACATTCTACACGGCGGCTCCTCCAGAGGCGCCACTGTGTAGAAGTAGCGTTTTCGCCTGAGAGGGGGTGCCCATTCTACGGAGCGGGCGGTTTTGGAAGCCCCTCCTGGGGGGGCCTCTGGGGAGGCATCGGGAGGGCACCTCAGATCTGACTAAGTGTACGCCTCCGGACCTGACTGGCCCACCTCAGGTCCCACTGGCAGCTCCAGGTTGGTATACTTAGTGGCTCCCCCTGGTGAGCCCCAGAGCCTCAGGTCTGTACAATGACCCTCACTTGAAAAACCTCCTCTTCTCATTGTCCTGCTCTTCCCTGTCACCCACCTTCCCTCTCCCTGCCCTTCCCCACCTCCCCTCCCACATTCTACCGTGAGCCGCCCTGCTCTCCTTGCCAGCCGTTCTCTTTGCATCGCTCGGCGCATCACCCCGCGCCGCAAGTGAATTCGAGCTCGCCAAGCGCACTGAAGAGCATGCGCGCCAGGGCGATAGAGGATCAGCAAGAGATGAGCCCCTCATCGTCGTCGTCGTCGTCGGGGGTCACCGTCGTCGTCGGGGGTCACCGTCGTCGTCGTCGTCGTCGTCGTCCTCGTCGCCGTCGTCGTCGTCGTCGACGTCGTCATCGTCGTCGTCGTCTTCCTCCTCCTCCCCCTCCCCCTCCCCCTTCCCCCTCCCCTCCCCCTCCTCCTTCTCCCCCTCCCCCTCCTCCCCCTCCTCCACCTCTCATCGAATATTATTCGTCACCTACTTGTCCTTACCTCCCTCCTCCCTCCTAGTAGCAAGTAGCAGCGTGGCTCACCTGTCATGGACTGGGCGCAGAGGGCTGAGAGCACTGAGCCGACGTGCGCTCGAGAGTGGCGCTAATATGGCTTCAACCTGCGCCATGCGTCCCTGTGCGCTCTCTTGGCGGCGTCGTGCGCATCTCGAGGCGCATCTGACGGAGCGATTTCGCCATTGTAGAGCCACCCCAGCAAGTGTTCATCTGCACATTTGGCTCTTACTGCTGCAACGCTAGAGCCTCTGTGGAGCCCGCGCCGCAAGCCGACGGACCTGTCCTTCATGTCTGCGTGATCAGGCCAAGTCGTAATGCGGCTCGGCTTCTGAGACGCCCACGGTTCCAATGAGCACGAGACCCACCCGCAGCAATCTACCGCAGAAGCCGAGACTGCCCGTTGCACAGCAAATCCGTCAGAGTCATCTGGACCAGCAGCCTCGTCGAGAAGTTTCTCGAGTGGTTGGTCATCGGGTAGAGCGACTCCTGCTTCAGGAACCTGGACAGTGACAGGAATCTCTATTGCTTCTTTAACCCCGTCGCGCACGTCATCTTGCACGTCGGCGGGTAGCTGGCCCAGTGCGTCATCCATGTCGTCGGCCTCGTCGCCATCACCCCCAGGTCCTCCATCGTGTTCCCCATGCCCGTCGCAGTCAGGCCCCTTGCCCTCGTCACCGCCGTCGGCGTCACCTTCATCGTTCTCGGCGGTTGTATTCCCAGCCTTGAAGGGGTCCCCAAGCTCGTCCAAGCTCGTCGTCGCCGAGGCGCCCTTGGACGTACGACCAGCTCCAGCGTCCGCAGGTGCCGCCCTCTTGACCTCGATCGGATCGCCGACTCCAGTAATATCCATGTGCAAGAGGTCGTCAATGTCGCACACAATCGAGTAGTCAAGGGGGAACACCTTGATGAAGCCACAGTCGGCATCAGACAAGTCGGAGGCCAGCTCATCACTTGTTGCTACTTCCAGCGACGAATACGATGGCGATATACGGCTGCGCCCGATTATCATCCTGACCCGAAAAGGCGTGAATGGCAATGTCATCTGGAACGTGTATGGAACTTTATCTGATAGTGAGCACTTGACGTAATACTGCATCTTGGACTTTTGCCGAAAGTCGCCAAGCAACACGATCACGTCTCGCCCTCGAATCGGGCAAGTATCGCCGCGTGTACGATACGACCTGATGCACGCCAGCGCCGATGACGATTCCGCAATACTCCTCGGCAGGTAGTCGGTCCACTTGTTCAGGTAGCCAAGGAACCTTTCCAGTGTCCGCGCTCGTTCGGGCTTGACCCCATGATCTCGACAGATGTTCTTCTTCTTGTAACAGCAGCCCAGCACGTGAGATCCCCAGGAGTGTTTTCCTTGAATTGCGGGCCGTTCAACCATGGTGCACACCTCGTAGTTATCTGGATGAGTGGCCGACTGCTTTGCATAGGGGCGCGCGCCCTTCTGCTGGTACAACAGATCACTGACCAGCTGGGGGTCGACCACATGGTGCCTTGATCTGCTTGACCCCCACAGAGGTACGAAGACGGTCTTCTCGTCCCTGCCCCGCTTCGGCTGGTTAACGATGGCTTGGCTCTGGGTGGTGAGCCTGCTCGCTTTGAAGACCATGCGCCATGCGTTGTACGCTGTCTCGTCAGCTTCGATGTGGGCCCACTCCTTCTCGATGATCTGATGTAGGTGTTCCAGTGTATCGCCCGACAATGGAGAAGTCGGCGAGTGATGCTTCTTATATGTAGAAAGCTTCATGTTATGAAACATCATCCAAGGGTTCCCACCAACCTTGGGAGTAACTCACGCGCCTGCTGTAGGTTCAAGCGCCGCCAGTGCAGTACACGACGATGCACTCCTATTGCGCTTGCGGTCCAGAACATCAGGAAGATCGATGGGCGCCTTAGCTGGATCAGACCCATGGCGTTGTAGGTGATGCTTCTTGGCCTGCTGGACCACGGACCTGTCGCTAGCAATCTCGAAGTTCACCGCGGGGCCCTCGCACGTCACGTCCTTCCTCATGGTCGCGTGTAAGCGCTCCAAGTCGTCGATGGACACAGGTGTTTCGGACCACGCTGCTATTATGGGCTTCGCATGCTTGAGGAATCGTTGTGGCGTCGACCATTTCTGCCGAATGCGCTGCAACCAAAGGGGCAAGCACTGTATATTGATAGCGAACATGTCCCTGACGACCCTCAGCTTGTCTTGCTCAGTGACGTGGCCATCCAGAAGGTCGATCAAGGTATAAGGAGCGAAAGCGTACCGAATCTCGAAGTGGTCCTTGAGACCTGGGGCTGGGCATCCCAAATACACGCGCATGTGCAATATGCATATACATAGGGTTGTTGGTGCACTGTACCCCGCCACGATTTTGGCTCAAAAGGCAACCCGGAAACATCAACAAAAACCCGTGGGAAATCGTGGTCATCATATTATTCCTCCTCCCGCTTCCCCTCCCTCCCCCAGTACCCCCCTCCTCTGTTTCAGTCTCCTCCACGTCTTAGACCTCATAGTATTTGTCCTGATCCTCTGCCACTCCCCTCCTCCATCCCACCCTCCTCCACCGCTTCCACCGTCGCAATCCTGCTCCTCCTCTTGCCCTCCTCTCTTCTCAACCCCCATCCTCCTCGACGTCGTGCTCGCGACCATCATCGCATCCTCGTCCCTGCCCTCATCCGAACCAGTATCGGTTTCCCTCTACTCATCATCCTCCCTCTGAGCCTGATCATTATGGTCCCTCCTCATGCTCCTCCTGCCCCCCTCCTCGCCTGCCTCCTCATCCTCCTCGTTCTGATATCGTCCCGTGTCCTGTGATCGATTGGATGAGCTGCCTGCGCACGAACATTCGGATCGTCGGGTCGTCGAGCGTCGCGCCCATCAGCGTGATGAGCTCCCCGTGCTGGCTGGCCCCGTCGAAGACGAACCTACCAGTGAAGTCCTCGATGGCGAGCGCGATGGGGGAGCTCTGGGTGTAGCACAGGTCCTTGAGCGTTGCGGTAGGTCTCCCAAGACGCGACGCCTGGGGCGATAGGGGGGAGCGGAATGGACGCGGGGCATCGGGGGTAGCCAGGGCAGTCGGCAGAAGGGGGGGCGAAGCGAGCACAGTGTCCGCCCCTCCCCCCCCCCTCTCTCCCCCCAGTCCTCCTCGGGGCCCTCCTCCACCCCTATCTTCATATGCCTCCTCACTCATCCGTCGTGCCCCTCCCCTCCCTCAATCTACCTCCCTCCTCACCTCCTTCATCATCGTCGTC